AAAAGTGAGTGCCAAAACCATAGCAAGTGGAAAGCCATGTATCTTGGGGTGCATTTGTTTACATTTTCTCATAAGCTAGAGTTCATGTAGCCAACGTCCATTAAAGAGTTATTCTGTGTGACAGTGAGAGGGCCACTCTCATTCCTATCCCTCATTCCCAGAACTACACTTGGTCGTGGAGGAGACTGTTGATGGTTTAAGGAATATGTGTGTTACAGGCCAGGCCCTGCTCAACCTTGCAAGCTGTTACCTCCATCTAGTACCATAACTAAACCTTCAGCAGGCAGCTTTATCTGAGTGTTACAAGACCAGTAAAGTGTGGACAGGAGCCCATTTCTGCTCAGAGATCTTCCCATCGAAGGCAGTATTGTTTGGGATCCTTAATTGCTGTGTAACAAGTTATAGCAGATTTCGTGGCTTAGAACAACAGACATCGATTGCCTCACAGGTCCGTGGGTCAGGAATCAGAGTGGCTTAGCTGGGCTGTTCTGGCTCAGGATCTCATGAAGTGGTGATACGCACTGCAGTCTCTGGAGGCTGGGCTGAAGAAGGCTTTCATTCCCAGCTCCTTGTGGGGACATTGTCCTCGGTTTGTCACCACATGGCCTCTCCACAGGCCTGCCTAGACACACAGCTTCCCGCCACGAAATAAAGAAGAGTAGCCAGGATTTAAGCTGCTGTCTTTTTATAGCCTAATCTAGGAAGTGAATCTGCCATCGTGTGTCATTAAGCCCACGCCACTCAAGGAGCACAAATTAAGCGTCTGCTCTTGAAGAGAACTGGCAAAAAATTTTGGGACACACTTTGAAAGCCATCACAGATTCCTTGGTTCTAGGTGCATGGATAGTGGGGACAGGTAGTCCGTCCTCAGAAAATGTGTCTATGCAAGAAAGGAAATATGCCTCTTTCATGATAGAAAGAGCTTCATGTACTCAGTAGCCACAGATGGCTGGCTGGGCCCCCTGGCGAGTGGGGCAATAGTTGGGCAAGACCACTGGCATATAAGCAGGGGGCTGTGTTCAAGCTCCTTGGTGGCCTCCATCCTTGCTGCCACGGCCACTTCGTTAATGAGTTCACCGTGAAAGGAATGCGGTCCCTGAGGAAAGAGGCTACCCAGCAAGGCATTAAAACCCAAGACGCCTGTAAAACCACCGATTATGAACTACTGGGAATCGGGTGTCGTTTGTCCTAGAGCTTCGCTCCCAGTGTCCCGAGGCGGGAACCAGCGCGGACACCCGAGCTGACGCAGGCACGCCCACCCACACCCACCACGGGTGAACTTTCTCCGTTTTCTTCCCATCCGACCCAGGACCCGATCGTGGGCGGTGCACAGGCTGAGGGAGGACCAGAGCCGGCTCATGCCTGCTGAGCTGTATGGCTCAAGGCTGCGCCGGGCGACCGCGGGAACCGCGCGCTGCCCGGGGAGACGCAGTTGGCGCTCCTGCCTTCCGCGCCCAGTCGGTTCCCAAAACTGAGAGGCCAACGTCACTCCAGCCGCTGGGCTGTGGGGCCTGGGGCAGTGGCCGGGGGCGGAGGGCTCGGGGGTGCTGGAGGGCGCCTGGGGGTTCGGCGGCCTTGCGGGTGGAGGGCTTGAAGGTGAAGTGGGACCGTGGTCCCACCCTTTCGGCGCGCTGCGGACGGCCAGAGCCGTATTTTAAATAAGGCGCTCTCGTCCTATTGGCCAGCCGCTGTTGCTCACTGATTGGCCCTGGGGAGCGGTGGGCGGTGCCCTGGCTGCCCATTGGTGGAGGCGGCAAGTTTAAACGTGGCCAAGGGCTACCCACTCTGGCTTCGCTTGTCTGTTGAGTCCGCCAGCTTGTGTGGTTTGTGTCTTTCGCGGGGTGTCGGCGACGGAAGAGAAAGACCTGCTTCGCCCTCACGGCCTCCGTCTGGTCTGAGGGGACACGGCGGCTCTCGCACGGGGCGCACTGTGCCGCTGCCGAGGCCGCCATGGCGACCCGGCGCGCGGGGCGAGGCCACCCGGAGGAGCCGGCCGGGCCGCCCGTCCTGTCCCTCGGCCACTTCTGTAGGGCGCCGTTTCTCTGCTTCGGGGATGTGCTCCTGGGGGCGTCGCGCACGCTGCCGCTGGCCCTGCACAACCCGAACGCCGAGGCGGTGGAAGTGAGGGTGTCCCGCATCCCGGCGGCCGACCGCGGCTTCAGCGTGGCGCCGCGCGCCTTCGAAATGCAGGTGAGTCGCCGGGCCGCCGGGGTCTGCGCGCTCTCCCTCCCCACCTGGGCGTGCAGGCACGGGCCGACGGGACCCGGAGCGACGTTCCCGCGCTCGCCGAGCGTGGGCCGGGGCGCGGCCGCGGGGGCGACGCTCGGAGCAGACGCAGTCGTGAGGGTCTCGGGTGCCCTGGGGGGCCTGCCGGTCTGAAGTAGCGAGCGGCATCCCAGCGCGAAGCGCCCTTCCCGACCTGCTGCCGTTCGGGGCTGCCGAGGCCGCCTCCTCGTGCAGCCTGGTCGCGCCGCCGCCTGGGTGCGAGCGTGGTCGCCTGCGTCTCGAGAAACGGCCGCGCGGCTCCACGCCGCCGCCCACTCTGCTGAGCAGCCTCGGATGAAAGCCTCCAGCAGAAAACAAAGGCACTTGTCGGGGCTGTTTTCGACAGGCCTGTGTGGTGTGTACGCGCATTTTGATATTTGATTTTTTTCTCTTTGCTGTAGCGTAGTTTTCATGGTGAATCAAATGTAATTTAAAAAATGTTGTTTCAAGAACTTCCTGGGTAACTTTCTGCATTGCACTGGCCAAAGTAAAGCTCCCGTTCGTGTTACCAACTCACGTGTTCGTTTGCCCGCTGCGGGCTTTCCGAGGGCCCGAGAATAAGCCGCTGGCCCAGGGAGCCCGGCCGAGGCCGAAGGAGGCACCGAGGGGCTCCTCTGCCCGTGCACAAGCGGGGTTCAGCCACGGATTCTTTCCCATCTACATACCTTTATTTACTCCTTTTTGTTAAATGGAACTAAAGTTGTTTTATTGTATGTTTTTGTTGCTATGTAGAATAAAATTTCACTATTCCTGTTTTTTGGAACCAGTTGTTCATGACGTCTACTTTTTCTGCTCCAAGCAAACTTGTCTTTTCCCCCTGAAAAGCAACAGCCACGGGGCTTGTTGTGTCTTGGCAGGCTTTGCATCTGGCAAATTCTTGCCAGGCTCCAGGGTATGGATGTTCAAGTCTGGACTCTGGAGTCAGACTGCCTGGGTTCTAATTACTAGCAGTTATGACTTTGGCAAAATACTTACTGAAAGTTTCTGGGCCTTGATGACTTCATCTGAAAATGTACATAATGGCAGCACCTGCTTCCTGGGGGTGAGGGGGTTAAACTAGTTACGTAAGGTTCCTGAAACTTCCTGGAGCACAGTAAGTGTCTAACAAATACCAGTGATGGTGATGTGGGCTACAGAAGACTGGTGAACAAGGAGTTTAGTTGATCACCTTTAGATTTCTTTTTTCAAAAGTCTTCAAAGTGAGAGGCCATTATATTTGAAATAGAAGTACTATACATATTTTAAAGGAGTAGAAAGACATCAACAAATTTTTTAAACCACTAAACTAAAATAAAGTGATTTGTAGAATGTTCCATTGCTTTCACACACAATTAAGATTTTATCATAATTTTAATTGTGACTCTTGTTATTACTAGTGGCTTTTTTCCTAATGATGAAATAGGGGTGGAAATTTTATTTCACTTATTAAATGTTACTAGGGTATAAAGTATTGGTGACTAGCAGTTATTAATCCTCTACACTATTCTAAGTTGTACATGATGCATTTTGGTTAGTTATTATACATTACTGCTGTTGTAATCATTTAAAATGTGTTCTCTTGATTATAGCCTGAAGAGAAAATTGTTATTTCTGTTAACTGGACACCATTAAAAGAAGGCCGAGTAAGAGAGATTGTGACATTTCTTGTAAATGATATTCTGAAGCATCAAGTTGTATTACTAGGAAATGCAGAAGAAAAGAAAAAGAAAAAGGTAATATGTTTTAGTCATTCAATATGTGAAAATTATTTGGTAAGTCTTGAAGTAGCATACATAATACTGCTTAATTAAAGGCAATATTCAATAACTATCAACAGACTCTGAATGTTTTGCTTATTTTTTCAGAGGAGTCTTTGGGATACCATTAATAGGAAGAAAGTTTCTGCTTCAAGTCATAACAAGAGGATTTCAAGTATTCAGAATGTTAATAAAACATTCAGTGTTTCCCAAAAAGTTGACAGAATTAGGAGCCCACTACAAGCCTGTGAAAATTTGGCTGTGAACGGAGGCTGTTCCCCAACAGGGAACGATTCTTTAAGCCTTGGGGAAAATAAAATACCCATATCCCCTATCAGTCCCACTTTCAGAGAATGCCATGGTGACTGCTCCTTGCCACTTTCTGTACATGGATCTACTACCCACACATCTCTTCATACATCTGAAAGCGGGGAACTACTGAAGGTAGAAGGTGCCAACGTTTGGAAAGATTTTAATGAGAAAGTCATAACTGAAACTTCCTTTAACTCCATAAATAATAATGATGGCCAAGCTGAAGAGAATAGTAAACTCATTCTTACCCCAAACTGTTCTTCAACTTTGAACATTACACACAGCCAAGGAAATTTTTTAAGTCCAGATTCCTTTGTAAATAATAGCCATGTAAATAATAATGAACTAGAATTAGTGACATGTCTTTCATCAGATATGTTTATGAAAGATAATTCAAGGCCTGTGCATTTGGAATCAAAAACCGTATGTGAAATTTATCGAACAATTTTAAGTCCAGATTCCTTCATAAATGAAAATTACAGAGTAAATCAGAATCTAGAATCAGAGTCAATTAATCCAATTATATCCCCAAATCAATTTGTAAAAGATAACGTGGCATATATATGTATATCTCAGCAAACATGTAAATTATCACCATTATCGCAAGAAAATTCTCAGACCCCACAGTGTCCTCTGGATCAGAGAAAAATTGTTTTACCTTGTGTTCCTGATTGTCAGAGTTCAAAATCTCCCAAAGCTATTTTTGAAGAACCCAAAGCCATAGAAAGGAAGTCAAATTGTTACAGTTTTACAAAACAAAGTCAGCCTAAATTTTCTTCAGTTCAGGGTATTTCTGGTTACAGCCAGGACAGACAATTCAAGAGACGCCCAGTACTTTCAGCCACTGTCACCAAAAGGAAGCTCACCCGCACCAGAGAAAACCCAGCTGAGACTAATAAAACAGGGGTGAAAAGATGTCTCAGCAGCATAGTAGGTGATTGTAAAAAAGTAACAGATGATCAAAAAGAGAGAGAAGCTTTTCATTCTCATCTTCCAGTTATAGATCCAGTAGTAACTGAATGTAAGCATCTGAAAAATGTAGTAACTTCTTCCTCCAAGACAGCATTTGTTGCTCATAAAAGAAAGAGTGAGGGAAGCACAAAAGATGCAAATGTGGCCATTATAGTCACAGAGCATACAGAAGGACGACAAATCAAAAGAATCCATTTTTCTCCTGTGGAGTCTAAAATATCAGTTGTTAAAAAAACAAAGGTGATAGCACCCATCTCCAATCGCATCAGCAACAGAGAAAAATTAAACTGGAAGAAGAAAACTGGTGAGTCTTGCTTATAAAATCTTTAATGAAATCACGCCTGTATGGGTCAGATATTCTGGGGTCTCTTTAAGTAAAATTTCTGTTGATGAGCTTAAATTAACTTGTACTTTTTATTTACAATTTGCTTAGTGGAAGTTGGTGCAAATGTGTGGGGCTGAATTCTGAAATAGTTGTGATCTTGTTTTTAAACTGATATTCATCATGATTTTTCTACATTAATTTTGATTTTTTCAAAAAAGTTGCATTGAAATACCTCTCTTGATTACTGCATTCTTTGGCACCCCCCTGTTTCCTGCACAGGGTGAGAACTTTATCTGCCTCACCATAGTCCAGGCCCTGACTGGAAAACTCAGGGACATGCCAGGATCCCATAGTGCCGTCTGAGAAGATGTGGATGAGGCCTTTGCTCACCCTGTGCTCCTGGAGACACCGTTCTCCCTCGGCTTTTCCCTGGCCACAGATTAGAATGAAGATAGGGCCCAGAGCTGTGCTTTCTTGTGGTGAAAGCCTCATTTCTCCTTTCTCCCACTCACAGCCTTACCACCCCTGTGTGCCTGGAAAACAGGACTAATCCCATTGTGCCCTTTTAACCATGTTACCTCATGACAGTCAAGGTCAGGCAGGAAAACAAGCCACACTAGCTATTGAACATACCATTTAAGAGAACCCAGGGACTCCTAGGAAATATCAGACATCTGTATTTTATCTCATTTCTATTTGAACATCTCCTAATTTGGACCATTTTCTCTCTCTCCAGTTGTTAAAAATGCCTTTGCACTCTGGACTGACTGCCCTTCATTAGCAAGTTATCTTTTGTAAATACCCCCTCATTTTGTCACCTTGCTGACACCTGGCTCTCCCCTGGAAACACTGCTCTCATTGCGACCCTCTCAGGCTGTATCTGTTTTCTCCAGTCCTCTCACCCTGGGGTCCCTGTGGTGGGTTAGTGGACGGGCTTACTTTTCACACCTACTTCCAGAATCATTTCTCCTTTCTTCCTTAAAAACAAGTGGAAAAAAAAACCCACAACAAAGCAGCTAGCAGCTTATTACATACTGTGCCACACATACTCCTGTTCCAGGAGAGATTCCTCTTGAGTTTACACTGGGCGCATGGTGCTTCTCCAAGTACCACTGACAACTTCACTTCAAAACCCTCACAGAAGATGCTTCCAGGGCCCTGGTTTTGTTCCAGCCTGCCTGGGCTGCCCTCTCCTAAAAGCGTCTCCATCTCCAGTCACTATCTCTGACTTGCACATTTTGTCTAGAGACTGAAACCCCAACCTTTTTTCTAACCCTTCTACACACACAACCCTTTAATCCACCAGTTTGCACAGCTCTCACCTTGACATGTCCTTACTCTTATTCAGCTTGGACTCCATATTCCTCACGTCTCTTCATTCTCTCCTCTTACCCTCATTGTTCTTTTCCATCAAGTTCCATCACTCTCCAAGTCCACTTGCTCCCTGCCTGAACCTTGCTGGTTGGTCTTTAAATTCATAGCCACTAATCTCAGGTAGGCCCTTAACTCTTTGCAGCTTTATTTTCCTGTTTATTGGTGTTATCACTTTGGTCTTGACTATCCCATCCCTCCCTTTTTTCACCTAAAACCTTTAATGCCTTCCTCTCTTCCTCTCTCCTGGTCGATAATAGTAGCTAACATTTACTGAGTGTGTCTGTCAGGCCTCATAATTAAGTGTTTACTGTCACCCCCTTAATGCTCACAACAGTCATACAAAGTGGATGTTATCATTGCCACATTTTTAAGTGAGTAAACCAGTGCATTCAGGAGTGATTTGCTCAGGTCACAGAGGCTGTGGGTGATAAAGCCGGATCTACCCAGCGAGAGGTTTGAGAGGTTCGAGAGCTAGTGCTCTGATACCCATCTAGGCTCATCTACTTCCTCCTTCACATGCAAATGAAAGCACTGAGGAAAACTTTCATATGTGCCACAGCATCTGCCACTCTACTGTAACTCCAGCTGTTTCCCCAACTGTTCTCCCTACTGTTACCCCAACTGTTACTGTTACACACACTGCCAGCCCCCTCCTGTTCCAGCACCAATTGTCTGCACCCAGAAAGGCCAGGCTCTTTACTGGGGTAACTAGTCCCATCCTGGTCTGAGTTCCTGACTTTACCAATTGTCTTCTCTCTCCCTCATGTTCAACTTTGACTCCCTATGGGGTCATTTCTCATAATATTTGAATAGGCTGTTATTACTTAAATCTCTTAAAGAAACAAAAACAAAAACTTATTATACCTCTTATCCCTTCATCTGTTGTTGCTTCTTTTAAGCAAAATCCCTTGAAAGATAGCTCACTGAGGGAGCCCTAGAAATGCTCAGGAATCTGAGTCATCAGGTACAGAAGTAGATGGGCTGAGATAAGAGCTGAAAAGAAAAAAAGAAAGCTCACAGAGTTGTGTGTACTTTTCTGTGTAAACATTATACTTGAATTAAAAGATATTTTTAATGTAAAAAATCATGTTGAAAGTTGCTTATATTAGCTGTTTCTAGTTCCTTCCCTATTTGTTGAATCCACTTCAATTAGGTTTTGACTCTACTGAAGTTTTTCTCGTTAAGGTCATTTAACACCTCCACACTGTGAGTCCCAGTACTTATTTCTCAACCTTCTTCTTGCTATTAGCCACCTGTTGGGGCCTTTGAGCCTCCACCGCCTCGGAACACTTGGCTCTGCCCTCCCCTCTGTCCTGCCTCTCTGACTGCCTCACAGGCTGCCTTCTGCACTCTGTGGTGGACTCCGTGTCACCCCACCTCCAGGTCTTGGAACAGGGGAAGGCTCAGTCGCCAACTTTTCCACTTTCACTCATTCACTCTGATCTAGAAGCAGAGAAACCTAGTGGAGCAGAGAAATAAGTCAATTTTTTAAGATGCATTTATTTCACATTGATAAGGTGCTGGCTGTGTGCTATGCACTGTTCTAGGCACTGGATACAAGGAGAAAAGATAATTCCTGTCTTCAAGTCATCCTCAGTCCTTTGATGGAGTTATTCACAGGGAAGCCTAAAAGCATGGACATGGAGGCCCTTGTACTTGCTTTGTATGAATTTCAAGGAGCTGTGGGATGGTTCCAAGAACGGCTTCCCAGAGAGAAAAATGGTTCCAGGTAGAGGGACAAGTTCCTGCAAGGTTTCAGAATGAGAAATTTTTCCTGTTTTTGTTTTTTAAATTTCAAGTACAAAGAAACTTATGACCTAATAGATGTTACATCACAATTTGGTCATGTTCCATATTTCACTATTGGCACTAGATTTGCAATCCCTCTAAATCACAACTAAGCAAACTTCTGCTCCAAAGGTCCAGGTAGTAAGTATTTAAGTTCTTCAGGCCAAATGCTGAACTCTTTCATTGTAGAAAGGAAAAACAGCCATAGACAGTATGCAAATCAGTGAGTGTGGCTGTATTCCAATAAAATTTTATTTATGGACATTGATGGCATAGTTTTCATGTGCCATGAAATACAATTCTTTTAATTTTTTTCCTACTATTTACAAATGTAAAAAATGTTCTTAGACTGTAGACCATACAGAAACACAGTGGGCTGGATTTTGCCTGTGGGCCTTAGTTTGCTCTCCTGCTTTGATCAGCTCTTTGTTTATACTAGTAGCAGAATGAGCTGGAGTAAAACCTGCGCTGGAGGGATTGAACTGCTATTCTGATAGGTTATTTTGCCTCTGGTTTTTAGTGCACTTAGATTTGTAGGCACCACCTACCATCTGCCTCAGTCACCCGGGTTAGATACCTGGAAATCATTGCCTTCTCCATCACTTACTTGGTCCTTAAGGCTTGTTGGTTCTATATTAAAATAACTCTTTGTTTCCACTGCTTCTGTTTAAGTTTTCTAGTTGCTAGCTTGGGCCACTGCAGTAGCTTTCTTTTAACTTTGTTATCTCTAGTCTAGACCCCTTTCGTTCCATTGTCCACATTGTTTTCTAAAATATAAATAATGGTGCTACTTCCTAAATTTAAGTCCTTCATTGGCATGCCGGGTACTTCAAACTGATTAATAGTGTAGGCTCTGAAACCGTACTGCCCAGTTCTGCCACATCCTAGTCCTAACTTGGGTGACCTTGATCAAGTGGCTTACTTTTTCTAAGCCTCAGTATCCTGATCATATAAAATGTGGATAATACTACAGTTCTTATAAGTTTGTTGTGATGATTGCATGAAGTAATTAACCTACATTAAAAGATTATGATATTCAAAATTTGTGTAAAATATTCACATATTAGCCGCCAGTATTATTTGTAATATTATTGAACTCTTTTTCTACCTCTTGTATTGTTGTTTTTATATGTATGCTTTGCTCCAGCCATATTGCAGTTCTATCAACAGGCCACATTCCTCATGCCTAATTTCCACTTACACAGAGTCATCTCAGATGTGATCCCATTTAGGAAGGCTGTCCTACCCTTTTAGGTGAAGTTATCTTTACCTTTTCCTTGTTCTCCTAACTCCTTATATGTGCTACTCCTTTAAGTAGTGTATTAGAGTTCTTTTTAAACTTATATACGTGACAAAACTTCCCAAGTGCTGGACCATATCTTTCAATTCTGCATCTCAGCACCTAGCACAGAATCTGGAATATTTACACACAATAAATTATTCTTGAATTTGAACGGTAGCTTCTGTAGACACAAAATAAATTGTAGTTTCTGGTTTGCAACTTCCAGATGTAGGATTTATTGACCACCAAGTTAATAGCATCATAGTGCCTGGTGCATAGTAGTTAGTTATTCAGTATTTGCCTAATGGGTATAATTGTGGAGAACCCAAATTTTAACTTTAAAAACAGTTCATTCAGGAAATTTATATCCTTTCTCTTATATTATTCTGCTTTCTAATTTGTTTAGATTCATTATTATATAGAACTCCTAATTCTAAAACAAACAAAAGAACAAAACCCATTGTTGCTGTGGCACAGTCTCATCTGACCTTCATAAAACCATTAAAAACAGGCAAGTGTTTATTATCTTAAAGTCTAAAAAACTGACATGGAATGAAGCATTAATTGCATTTCAAGTGGAAATTAATGGATACTTTTTTGTTGAATCAAAGCCTTGGGGAATTGTTAAATTGTGTATTCAAATAACAATTAGGATATTTTCTCAAACTTTAATGAGCCTAACTTACAATGACTTGGGAGTTTTAGATAACCAGGAATGTCCTACATTTTTCCTTTTTTACTTTGATTGCATTTTATATGCAAAATGCCTTCCAAAAAGGGCTGGAAAAGCAAATATTCAATCTTTTAAAAGTGGTTTTGCTAGTAAAAATGATCTTTTGCTGCCTATTGTATTATAATTTAAAGGACAGTTTCTTGTGTAATAACTTAATTGTATTCTTAGATATTCCTAGACACCCAATGCCATTTGCTGCAAAAAACGTATTTTATGATGAACGCTGGAAAGAAAAGCAGGAACAAGGCTTCACTTGGTGGCTAAATTTTATATTAACTCCTGATGACCTCACTGTAAAAGCAAATATTCCTGAAGGTAAAAATTAAATTAATGTTTTAATTAAATAATACTCTTATTTCAACAGAATTTTTAACATGAATTTTTATTCTTTAATTATACATATTTTATTTATTGTATCATAGTTAATTATAGTTTGTTACATTTTAGTTAGTTTAACCAGAAGCATTCTTCCCTTTGTTTTTACCCAGTAAATGCTGCCACTTTTCTTTTGGGTTCATTATCATAGTTCACTAATTCATTGTCATGAAGGCTACAGACTGAGTAGGTGAAAATTTTTTAGGGAATTCTGTACTGAAAGTACTGAACTTTACATTTTCTTTTGGCTAATGCAATTTCCAGGTGCATGGGTTTCATTTTAGTACCGATTCAATCCAAATTAATAGGGAAACATGACTGCTAAGAAATCCAATTGAGTCTTAGCCTACATTAACAAAGTGTAATTCCTGGTGATAAACATAACAGTCCAACGGGACCTGCTCCTGTCAGGCATAGTGTCTCCTCTTTCTTTTTTTTTTTGAGTCTTTCTTTTTTGTCTCCACTTACAAGTTTAAGTTTTTTCTTAGTTTAAGACATTTGTAGGCAATCAATAGAATTATGAGGGATCTGAAAAAGTTGACATAGGGAATTTTGAAAGCATCTCAGAGTTTGTTCTGGAAAATGTGTAGAACCAGATGGAAACATGCTGTCCTTCAAGCATTTGAAGAGTTTTCTTCTGAAAGAGAAGAAACTCGTACTGCTCACCCATTGAAGTTATAGGGATCTATTCAACCCAAGATAAGGAAAAATCCTTGTAAATATTTAAGTTGCCAAACCATCATATGGGCTATCTTTAAGATGGTGATTTTTCCTATTGTTGTAGTATTCCAGCAGAGACTGGTCTGTATTTGTTAGAGAAGCATGTATAGAATTTTTACATTAAAAGGCTCTATGACCAGATATTCTCTAAGGTCACTTTTCTTTTTTTTCCAAAAGTAAACCAAGCCTGATTTTTTAGTTCTCTTTTTGAGAGAAAATGTGTTTTATAAAAATTCAAGTTGCATTTCAAAATTTAATTGATTCAAAAAAATCATATTCTTTAGGAGCTTATCTTTTTAATTTATAAAGAAAATAGGAGAGAAACCAATTAAGAAACTATTTCATTAGTCAGTTTTAGAGATGATAATGTTTGAATTTGGATAATAGTGGTGGAGGTTGTGAGAAGTGTTTAGACTTGGGATTCATTTTGCAGGTAGAGCCAAAAAGTTTCAGTGTTAGGGCTGTCTAAGTACTGAGTGAATGGTGAGATGGGAAAAGAGAAGCACACGCTTGGAATAGATTCTTGGCCATCTAAAACTGCATTTATGGCTGGCTTTAAGAGAGATATATATATATACTCTTTAATTTTCTTCCCCGTGTTTTTACGCAGTCAATGCTGCTGCTCTTCTTTTGGGAGTGGAGAGTCAACATAAAATAAGTGTGCCCAGAGCGCCTACGAAGGATGAAATGTCCCTCAGAGCTTACACTGCTCGGTGCAGGCTGAATAGATTACGTCGTGCAGCATGTCATTTATATACTTCTGAAAAAATGGTTAAAGCTATTAAAAAGCTTGAGATTGAAATTGAAGCTAGGCGGTTAATTGTTCGAAAAGATAGACACCTCTGGAAAGATGTGGGTAAGAGATTATAGAAATCTTGACGTTAATACTTTAAAGACACTAAAGAGTTTGTATTTCAGAGTCAAATACATACATTGGTTTGGCTTTGCTGCCTAACTCATGTACTGAAATATGACCATATATATACTTAAGAATGGAAGTACACTTTAATTTATTTCCTATAAATGATTATCCCTTTTTTCCCACTGATTTATCTCTATGAAATTATGTTTGTTGTCTCTAAATAATAATGATCTGAGCTTACTTGGTGTTCACATGCATTTCAGGAGAACGACAGAAAGTTATGAATTGGTTATTGTCATATAATCCTTTGTGGCTACGAATCGGCCTAGAGGTAAGTATGTATTGCAGCTTTTTAAAAAAAGATACATTATTTAATTATGTACTTTAATAGGCTCTTTAATAAAATATGGTTTTACTTTTAAAGCCATTTGGTTAACTTGATAAATCTTTCAGTATAAAATTTAAGGTTCTTTAATAATACTCATTAGGTAATCAGACTATGCTATTATGTATTATTGCCATTTCATTACATAGCAGTTTTACTGTTAGCCTAAGTATATATAATTTGGTACTGGACATAAATAGTAAGCTACTTTTTGAGCATTTACAAATGACAGTACAAGGCTTCTTTAAATGCAGTTTCTAATATAATTAGAAAGTGAGGCATGTATTATTCCTATTGCAAAACAGGAGCTTAGATATTAAATAACTTGCTGAATCCCAATAATTGGCCAGGATTTGAATCTATACCAGTCTGTTGTCAAAGCTCAGCCTTGTAACCATTTTGATGCAAGGCTTCTCATAAAAATGTCACCACAATTTGACTTACTCACCTGGTACATGGCTCAATAATATTTAGAATGTTAAAGCTAACTGAATTAGAAAGGCATTAGTAGTTGACTGTTAAAAATATCTTTTTATTTTTAAAAATCCTCAGTTTTCATTTCCTTTAGTCTTTTACTGGTATGCATTTACATTTTCTTGAGGTTTTTTACTTTGGTCAGGTGGGACGTCCTCTTCCTGTTACGACTTTAGTTTATCCCAGGTTTTGGAATAAAAGAATCTTTAGGACTGAAAGGAATCATTTAAATGATTTGGCTTTTATCAATGAAGAAACTGAGGCACTGAGAGAACAGATGATAAGCTTATTGCTGTCACACAGCTGGATAGTTTCATTGCAGAGATTTCTTATTCTGATTCCAATAGTTTCATCAACCAGAACATTGCATATTAACTGGTTCTGAGTCACATCTCAAATAATTCTAGGGGCTCAGTTGAAGAGGAATAACTTTGTGTGTGATGTGAAAGGCAAGAATCTTAGGTAGATACTTGCAAGGCCTTTTAAAACTTCTGCTTACATGTAGTGTGTGCCACATCTGTCCATATTCCCCCGAGCAAAGCACATTATCCGGCCAAACACAAATGAGGCAGGAATGCTGTCTTCCCAAAAGAGACCCAGCACATCTATGGCAGTTGGTGTGGATGTAGAACCCTTTTATAGGGAAGGGAGTGGTGAATAACTGTGAACAAAACTTCTGTGTCATCACCACAGCTTTGGGTTCTGTTACAAACCTAAGAAAGGATGGGCATGAGCTTCGAGGGTATTAGAGTTTCAAAGGCCAAAAAATTAAATAAAGATAAAATTTCTCTGTTGTGGCAGTTATCAATACTTTTCATCCTGGATTTTGTTGGTGTAAGGTTAAAGATAGATATAAATTCATTTTTTTTAGTTTTTTCTCATTTCTTTAAAAATCAATAAGTATTTTTATGTTAAACTAACTTCATATTTATTTATTTTAAATTGATATATTTATCAGTATAGTTCATATACAATATCATATTGGTTGTAGGTGTACAACAGTGATTCGACACTTGTATACATTATTAAATCATCACCCCAACTAGTGTAGTTACTACCTATCAACATACAAAGATGTTACAGAATCATTGACAGTATTCTCTAGGCTGTACTTTCATCCCCATGACTATATTATGATTGAGGTTTTGTGTCTCTTTATCCCCTTTACCTATTACACCACCTCACTTGCCCCCTTCCCCATGGTAACCACTAGTCAGTCCTCAGTGTCTTTGAGTCTACTGCTGTTTTGTTTATTTTGTTTTGTTTGTTTTTAGGTTTCACATCTAAGTAAAATCATACGGCATTTGTCTTTATCCACATGTCTTATTTCACATAGAATAATACCCTCTAAGTCCATCCATGTTGCCATAATTGGCAGGAGTTCCTTCTTTTTTATGGCTGAATAGTATTCCATTGTATATATTACCACTTCTTCCTTACTCATTTATTTGTTGATGGACACTTTGGTTGCTTCCATGTCTTGGCCATTGGAAATAGTGCAGCGAAAACATAAGGGTGCATGTATCTTTTCAAATCAGGGATTTTGTTTTCTTGGGTAAATTCCTAGATGTGGAATTACTGCATTGAATTGTATTTCTATTTGTAGTTTTTTGAGGAACCTCCATACTGCTTTCCACAGTGGCTGCACCAATTTACATTTCCACCAACAGTGTAGGAAGGGTTTTCATTTATCCACATCCTTGCCAACATTTATTTCTTGTCTTTTGGATAGTGGCCATTCTAGCTGGTGTGAGGTGATATCTCATTGTGGTTTTGATTCACATTTCTCTGATGATAAGTAATGTAAAGCATCTTCTCAGGTGCCTGTTGGCTATCTGTTTTCTTCTTTGGAGAAATGTCTGTTCTGGTCCTCTGCCCATTTTTTAACTGGGATATTTGGTTTTTGGGAAATATGAATTCTTTATATATTTTGGGTGTTAACCCCTTATTGGATAAATCATTTACAAATATATTCTCCCATACTGTAGGTTGCCTTTTTGTTCTGCTGATGGTGTCCTTTGCTTTTTAGTTTGATGTAGTCCTACTTGTTTATTTTTGCTTTTGTTTCTCTTGCCCAGGGGGGGATGTGTCCAGAAAAAAACTGCTTATGTTTATGTTCAAGAGATTTTTGCCCATGTTTCTTCTAAGAGTTTTATGGTTTCATGCCTTACATTCAGGTCTTTGATCCATTCTGAGTTTACTTCTGTGTGTGGAGTTAGACAGTGATCCAGTTTCATTCTCTTACATGTAGCTGTCCAGTTTTCCTGATACTAGTTATTGAAGAGGCTATCTTTTCTCTTTTGTATATTCATGGCTCCTTTATCATATATTAATAGACTGTGTATGCATGGGTTTATATCTGGGCTCTCTGTTCTTCCCATTGATCTATAGGTCTGTTCTTGAGCCAGTACCATGCTGTCTTGATTACTGAAGCTTGGTGATAGAGCTTGAAGTCAGAGAGTGTAACGCCCCAGTTTTGTTCTTCTTTCTCAGGATTGCTTTGGCTATTTGGGATCTTCTTTGTATCCACATTAATTTTAGAACTATTTCTTCTGGTTCATTGAAGAATGCTGTTGGTGTTTTGATAGGGATTGCATTGGATCTGTAACTTGCGTTAGGCAGGATGGTCATTTTGACAATATTAATTCTTCCTATCCAGGAGTATAGTATGTGTTTCCATTTATTGGTGTCTTCTTTAATTTCTCTCATGAGTATCTTGTAGTTTTCAGGGTATAGGTCTTTTACCTCCTTGGTTAGGTTTATTTCTGGGTATTTTATTCTTTTTGATGTAATTGTAAATACAATAGTTTTCCTGCTTTCTCTTTCTGCTAAGTCACTGTTACTGTATAGGAATGCAACAGATTGCTGTGTGTTAATTTTGTATCCTGTGACTTTGCTGAATCCAGTTATTCTAATAGTTTTTTGATGGAGTCTTTAGGGTTTTCTATGTATAATATCATGTTGTCTGCCAACAGTGACAGTTTAACTTCTTCCTTACCAATTTGGATGCCTTTCACCTCTTTTTGCTGTCTTACTGCTGTGTCTAGGACCTCCAGTACTATGTTGAATAAAAGTGGGGAGAGCGGGCATCCTTGTCTTGTTCCTGATCTGAGAGGAAAAGCTTTCAGCTTTTTGTTGTTAAGTATGATGTTAGCTGTGGGTTTGTCATATATGACCTTTATTATGTTGAGGTATGTATCCTCTGTACCCAGTTTGTTAAGAGTTTATCATGAATGGATGTTGAATTTTATCAAATGCTTTTTCAGCATCTATGGAGATGCTCATGTGATTTTTGTCCTCCTTTTTGTTAATGTGATGAATCACATTGATATACAAGCATTGTACAATCCTTGCATTCCTGGAATAAATCCCACTTGCTTGTGATGAATGATCCTTGGATGTATTTTTTAATTTGTTTTGCTAATATTTTGTTTAGGATTTTTCCATCTATGTTCATCAGGGATATTGTTCTGTAATTTTTATTTTTTTGTAGTACCTTTGGTTTTGGTGTTAGAGTGATGATGGCCTCATAGAATGAATTTGGAAGTATTCCCTCCTCTTCTATGTTTTGAAATACTTTAAGAAGGATGGGTATTAGCTCTTAAATGTTGGTAGAATTCACTCATGAAGCTGTCTGGTCCTGGACTTGTATTGGGCAGGGCAGATGTTCAGGAAAGCCTGCCATGGGGCTGAGCTGCCAGTGAGGGAGATGGAGCTTCTGGAGCTGGGCGCTGCGAGCACCTGACCAGTTGGGCTGAAGGAGGCTGAGAAAGTGCAGTCCATCTGTGAGAGAGAGAGCTTTCCCCTCCAGAGAGCTTCCTTCAACCCCTGTCCCTCTGGCACACCTCCACGTGCTGCCTTTCAAACTGCCAGCTCTGTTGGGTCTCAGCAGGACCGACAAATTGTGTGAGGCCTCCACAAGGGACAGGAATGTCAGCCTCCCAGAGTGCTCTCACTGTCCCAGGTGTCCCTCCTTGATCACCAAAGCCCATTGCAGTGTGGACTCTTGTCCCCAGAGCGGATCTCCAGGGCCGGGCGTGCAGGATTCCTGAGCACTTACCCCTCCAGCTTTGTTGCTCTCCCTCCTGTTAGTGTGCTGGAGTTGGGGGAGGACTGGGATCCCAATAAACTGATAGCGGTTCTGCCCCTTTTCCCTCCTCAGTGTGGTCCTCTCTTCTCCACTGAGTGCAGGTGGTCTGTTCTGCCGTCTACAGGTCATTTTATTTGCTATAGTGCTTCCTTGTGTGCAGGTGGGAGGAGGTTCCTGCCGTACCATCCTACTCTTCCATCTATTTTGAATCCCCTAACTTCATATTTAAATCATTGATTATAAACAGATCTGAACTTCACAAATTATTAAATTAGGTGATTTGCTGATGGTTTCCTACGTGTTAACTATAAGAAAATTTTGAATATTTAGGTTTCTCTTTTACCTTCATGATATACTTAGTGGAACAGTTATAATTAAATTTGAACAATATGACTACATTTGCTAGTTCTTTAACATAAAGAAATTAAAATAAAGGTATTGCTTGTCAATAATTTCTAAGAATTTATCTTAGCCCTGAGCTCGTCTTTTTTCACTGTGGAGTATTGCATTTACACTGAAAATGCACAAAGCATATACATACAGTTTAATAGATTTATTTAGCAAATGTCTATGTCACTGTCATACTCTTTAAGAAAGAGAACATTACCAGGTCTTCAGAAGATGATCTGCCTGTCCCCCTTGTCATTCTCTTTCTCAGAGGTCACACAGTGCTGACTTTAGCTTTGATTTCTTCTCAGACGATTTATGGAGAACTCATATATCTGGAAGACAACAGCGATGTCATGGGGTTGGCTGTGTTTATTCTGAACCGCTTGCTTTGGAATCCTGACATAGCAGCTGAGTACAGACACCCCAGCATCCCTCATCTGTACCGGGATGGTAGGTAGTGCCACCCACACTGCATTCTCTCCACCCTGTATAAATACCATCTCATTTCTCCTGTCTTTGCTTAGCTTGTGCCTTCTTAGAGCAACCAGTTTAAATAGTCTCTGTTCCCACCACCCTCCTTCCTTCACCCCATCACTCCCATCACTGTATGATTTTTACCTGTTTATCATCTCTACCCACACTCTCCCCACCAAGCAGGCTGTGTGGAGACCATTGGGTTTTAGTTTGTATCCACATAGCCCCTAGGATGGTGTTGATGGAGACCAACTAAGCCGTTTGCTATCTCTGTGCCTCTGTTTCCTCCACCATGAGTTGGAGATATTAAAAGGCATCTGCCCTGTGAGTTACTAGAAATACTCAGTGGGTTCACAGACATAAAGCACTAAGAAAGGCACATACTGCTTGATTTGTGCCCTTACTTTATTTACTAGCACATTATTGTATTTTAAGGTGGAACCCATCTTTCACAGATTAACTTGCTATGCTTTTTTGTACTTTATTTAAGGTCATGAAGAAGCTTTGTCTAAATTTACATTGAAAAAGTTATTGTTGTTGGTTTGTTTCCTTGATCATGCTAAAATCTCCAGACTTATTGATCACGATCCTTGTCTCTTTTGTAAAGATGCTGAATTCAAGGTACTGTTTTCATTTTACATTTTATGTTTTATATTTCACATTTAAGAACTTTGTTTGCTTTTATTGTATATTTTCTCTTTCAAAAAACGAGTTTCCCAGAGTTCAGCTCTTTGGAGTAGAGTAGAAATGCCTCCCTAGGAGTTCTAACTCTGCTGAACTTCTGTTTTAAATCAGCACCTCACCGTACTCTTACCTCTGATATGACAATGAATGAAACTATGCTTCTAAGGAATTAATCTGGGTAGAAATTTCTTTCCTAATTTAATAGTTATCAAAGTAATGCAGATTTTTAGAGTGTATTATTATTTATGAACAACTTTTTAAAAGGCCTTAAATTAGAAATATATGAGATTTGCCTTACCATATGACATGAAACTGAGACACTTTGCACTATAATTTCATTTAATTTCTATACGCACAAAATGATATGAATTTTTTTTTTTTTTTTGTAAACAAAATGATAATCTTAGAGTATAATACTGCAGCTTATTTCTCCACAGACAAGTAAAGAAATCCTGCTGGCTTTTTCCCGGGACTTCCTAAGTGGTGAAGGTGACCTTTCTCGTCACCTTAGCTTATTGGGATTGCCTGTTAACCATGGTCAGACGCCATTTGATGAATTTGACTTCGCTGTTACAAATCTTGCTGTAGATTTACAGTGTGGGGTGCGTCTTGTGTAAGTATAAGAAATAGAATATTTTACTCAATGGAATAGACTAAAATTTTCTAAAAAATACATTTTTCTGTGTTTATATAATCTTTCTTGTTCTTTCATATAATGCAATAAATTTAGGGTTAAAATAAACTGGGATAAATATCTGCAACACTTTTAGGAAAATGGTGTCAATTTTAGGACCAAAATCTTGTTTACTATCCATGTTTTTTGCCTTGTTGGCATGTGACTACTAGGGTCTGTGAGTAAGAACTACTGATGGAGTTGGGAAAAGCATGAAACAATTAAATATCAAACATCTAAATAACACTTTATGTCTGGTGGTTTCATGAGTACTGTATCACTTGAGACCAGCTTTAGCTGTATTAACTTTGTTTTACATATGAGGAAAGGTAGAATGAAGAAGTCAAATGGCTTATCTAAGTTTTATATAGAGGTATTAGAATATAAACTCAAGGTATCTGGCTTCAGAATCACATAGAACTTAGTACTAAACTGGAATCCTCAACATTGGCTTTTGTATGAATACAGTGAGTTACCAGTCACCGCTTTGGAAGGAGTGGACTTGAGCATGGTACTACTTGGCCTCATTAGGGTATTTGGCTTGGAAACATTGGTCTTTTTTTGAGAAACTCCAATTTATGTCCTGTTTCACATTTGTGATGTAGGGCTCCCCAGATCTTTATGAATACCCAGTTCTTCAAAAATAACACAATGACACTTGCTTTCTTCTCTGTTAAATTGCTGTGAGCATTGTTTTCTTCTCCGAATATGTGGTCTCACAAGGTAATAGTCTTTTGGACTTTCTAGTAGCTTTCTTTCACTTAAGCAATTTCTCTTCCTCTTACTTAAGTGTATAAGCTAAAGAATTTGCTGTAAATGTTTCACGTGTTATTTTTATATGTATTTAATTTGTTTCATAAATCCAAACCACCACATCTGTTTGTGGGCCAATAGGAATTCATGTTTTTATACTTCTTCCACTTTTCAGGAGGAGCAGTGATTGATTATATGTTCAGTGCTGTTTTTCTCAATGAACGACATTTCTATGCTTTCATAGGAGTTATTGAGGATTTAGTGATGTCAGATGTTGATTCTTTGTCATTAGTTCATCAGGAACTAATGTCATTAGTTCATCAGGAACTAGTTAAGAGACTCGATCTTGCATGCCCGGTTTCTATTTTCTCCAGTGCCAGCAAATGATTATAGATCTTTGAGGTCATTTGAGAATATCTGGGGATGGCTGATCCACATGCTTCATTCATTGATGGGGTGACTGGCCTAGAAAGATCTTAAGTTGCTTTCTAACCTTTAGAAATTATGGTTGTATAGACAATTCTGCCAGGTTTTATCTATGTACTGTAATCAGTTGGGGCTTGCTTTTTCTGGAAAAGTGATTATTGTCTAGAAGATAAAACACTAGTAATATAGATGATATTAGGGGGTTGAATTTTAACTGATAAGTATGTCTTTTTAACATAGGCACACAAATTTTTTATAGTAATTTGCTATAGATATAAGACAATGGCTTTGGAAACTGATAAAGCCACTTTCAGTTCTGATCTTAGTTCTGTCACTACTGGCTATATAACTATGGGCAGTTTACTGAAATTCTCTGGGCTTTGGTTTCTGCATCTGCAGAAACTGGGGTAATGATGCCTAACTGTGGATCTGCCATGAGAGGACTAAATAAAATAGGAAAAGAAAGGACCTGCTTGGTGTGCAAAATACATCTCACTGCATACCTCAACAAATGTCTTTTTTCCTTTCCTTAAAGAACCCTGTTGTTTTATTCATGTGTGTGTCTCATATTCTTACATTCTGCTCATAGGGCTCAATCTCTCAGCTTACATACAAAATAACTCTATTTGCTAACATTGGAGCAAAAGAGTCTTGAGGTAGTTTTTGTCATTCTAACCTAAAACGCTTTAAGTTGGGGGTATTATTTGTGTGACTGATAACTATATTTAAATGAAGTTCATTTTTCATATATGTTTTTATATAACAATTTCATTTGAAAATCCCTTTACTGTTAAAGGCGAATCATGGAACTTCTCACACGGGACTGGAGTCTCTCAAAGAAACTCAGGATTCCTGCAATAAGTCGTCTTCAAAAGATGCACAATGTTGACATTGTTCTTCAAATTCTTAAATCACGAGGAATTCAATTAAATGATGAGCATGGTAAAAACTGAGTAAAGATAAAGCTTTTCCTTTTTACTGATAATTGATGTGTAAAGATGTGCTAACATACTATCTTTTCGTTTGCAGGAAATACAATCCTGTCTAAGGATATTGTAGATCGGCACAGAGAGAAAACTCTTGGGTTGCTTTGGAAAATAGCATTTGCTTTTCAGGTATTGTACATTTGGTAAATTTTGCACTTTTCATAGCTGTTCCACATTGATTTTTAAAAGTATTTTGCATCAGATAAAGCCATTGCTTTACTCAGAGATGTTTCAGGTTGAGGTCCAGGCAACCCCAGGATAGCTAGTCCAATGAAGGTTTTGGTTTCCTAGTGAATATAATAGTTACATGTAAGCTACCTAGTTGTCTCAGTGTTCAATAGCTTTATATCTAAGCACTATGCACATACCTTAACTAAAAAATATTCTTGCTAAAAATTGCTTACCATTTTTTGAGCTTTTAGCAAATCCTAATATTTTTGCTGGTGGAGGGTCCTGCTTTGACACTGTTGACTGATCAGGGTGGTGATCAGGGTGGTGGTGCTGAAGGTTGGGTGGTTGTGGCAATTTCTTAAAATAAGACAATAATGAAGTTTGCCACATCAATCGACTCTCCTTTCAGGAACAGTTTCTCTGCAGCATGTGATGCTGTGTGACAGCATTTTACCCACAGTAGAACTGCTTTTAAAACTGGACTCAGGCCTCTCAAACCCTACTGTTGCTTTATCAACTAAGTTTATGTATTATTCTAAATCCTTTGTTGTCATGTCAACAGTCTTCAAGGCATCTTCACCAGGAGTAGATTCCATCTCAAGAAACCACTTTCCTTGCTCATCCATAAAAAGCAATTCCCCATCCATTGAAGGTTTATCATGAGATGCAGCCATTCAGTCCCATCTTCAGGCTCCACTTCTAATTCTAGTTCTCTGGCTGTTTCCACCACATCTGCAGTTACTTCCTCCATGAAGTCTTGAACCCCCTCAAAGTCACCCATGGGGTTGGAATCAGCTTCTTCCAAACTCTTGTTCATGTTGGTGTTTTCACAAAACTCTTCCCAAGAATCACAGATGTTCTCAGTGGCATCTAGAAGGGCGAATCCTTTCCAGAAGGTTTTCAAGGTACTTTGCCCAGATCCATCAGCAGAATCACACTATGGCAGCTGTAGCCTTACGAAATGGGTTTCCTCAGGGAAAACACTTGAAAGTCAACATGGGTCCTTGATCCATGGGCCGCAGAACTGACTTGTGTCTGTAGCATGAAAACAGCAGGAACCTCACTGTCCATCTCCATCCGAGCTCTTGGGGGACTAGGTGAACGGTCAATAAGCGGGAATATTTTTAAAGGAATCTTTTTCTGAGCAGCAGTGCTCAACTGTGGGCTTAAAATATTCAGTAAGCCATGTTGTAAGCAGATGTGCTGTCAGCCAGGCATTGTTGTTCCACTTGCAGAGCACAGGCAGGGTAGATTCAGCATAATTCCTGAGGCCCCTGGGATTCTCAGAATGGTCAGTGAGCATTGGCTTCAACTTCAAGTCACTCGTTGCATTAGCCCCTGACAAGAGAGTCAGCCAGTCCTTGAAGCTGTGAAGCCAGGCATTGACTTCTCTCTAGCTATCAAAGTTCTGGATGGCATCTTCATCCAAATACAAGGCTGTTTCATTACACTGAAAATCTGTTGTTTAGTGTATCCACCTTCAGTAACGATCTCAGCTGGATCTTCTGGGTAACTTGCTGCAGCCTCTCCATCAGCACCTGCTGCTTCCCCTGTGCTTTTATGTTATGGAGACGCTTCTTTCCTAAACCTCACGAACCAGCCTTTGCTGGCTTCTAGCTTTTCTTCTTACCTCACTCAGCTTCATGGAATTAAGTGTCAGGACCTTGCTCTGGGCTAGGCTTTGGCTTAAGATGGTGATGTGGCTGGTTTGATCTTCTATCCAGACCACTAGAACTTTCGCCATATCAGCAATAAGGCTGTTTTACTTTTAATAAAAGTAGCACTTTTAATTTCCTTCCACAGCTCTTCCTTTGCATTCACAACCTGGCTAACTTTTCGGTGCAAGAGGCCTAGCCTTTGGCCTATTTCCACTTACAACACGCCTTCCTTACTAAGCTGAATCATTTCTAGTTTTTGATTTAAAGTGAAAGACACACAACTCTCCCTTTCATTTGAAGAGTTAGAGGCCATTTTAGGGTTATTAACTGGCCTAATGCAATATTGTTGTGTCTAGGGGACTAGGGAGGCCCTAGAAGAGGGAGAGAGATGGGGGGATTGCCAGTCAGACGAGCAGTCAGTATACACACAATGATTGTCTTAGTTCACTCTCTTACATGGGTGCCCCAGAACAGTTCAGTAGTAAATCAAAGATCATTGATCACAGATCACCCTAACAAACATAATCATGATGAGAAGGTTTGAAGTATTGAAGGAATTACCAAAATGTCACAGAGAAACACAGTGAGCAGATGTTATTGGAAAAACAATGCTGACACACTTGGTACAGGGTCATCACAAACCTTCCATTTACTAAAAAAAACCCAAAAAACAAAATAATAAAAATGCAGTGTCTGCAAAGCACAATAAAGAGAAGAGCAATGGCACTGCTATGTCTACATTCCACTTTGATTTTCATGCACCCCTGTAAGGAGATGTTGCTTTTGCTCTGTAAGTGAGGAAACTGAAGCTGAAGGTCGCATCATTGAGGGGACGCAGAGATCAGATTAAACACAGCTTGTGTGGCCCCAAATCCAGTGGACTTAACCATTGCACAGTCCATCACTTCTATGGGGACTGCCTTAAAAGAAAAAGAAAACTTTAACTTTTGCAAGTTAAAAATAATATATGGAAAACAAAGATATTCTTTTGTGTCTTTGTAGGTGGATATTTCTCTTGATTTAGATGAGTTAAAGGAAGAAATTACCTTCTTAAAACACACCCAGAGTATGAAGAGAACAATGTCTGCACTGTCTTGCAATTCTGGTGCTGTTACAAATAAGAAGAAAGATGAAAGGAATCGTGGTTCCTTTGGACAATACAGTGAAAGCATAAAGCTGTTGATGGATTGGGTAAATGCTGTCTGTGCCTTCTATGATAAAACAGTAAGTTTGTTTTTGTTTTAGCCTAGTATCTTTAAATAAATTTTGGTTAAAGTCAATTAAGCTTAATTCATAAAATCTCTTGCATTTCTTAAGTAATGTAGTTTATATATATAAGCAAACTTTCCTCAGATGAGCCAGGGCGTTTATCATGTTCTGTGTTTTATCTAAGATGTTACCAAATGTATAGTGCAGCATTATTTTGTGTGTCACTAAGAAATAAATAACCTAGTTGGGGGTCTTAATAGGAGACACTTGCAAAGACTGGGGCACCAAAGGATCACACCCATATTATTAAAGGTAAATATAAATAAACCCACCTTACCACTAGGTAGAGGGAGGAAAAAAACCTGAGTCTTTAATCATTTGTTAGATTTGTACTGTATTTCTCTATGAAATGTACCTGTAAGTATAAATACATGAAAGTAAACTGTCCTGACGTGTGAATAACAGCTGCTAAGGTATATGAGACAGAAAAATGATACAGAGTATGTGTAACTAAATGTGGTAAACTGCTACACGTTGAGCAAGTATCATGAGTAGCATGATTGCCAAATCCATGGATAATCTTCTGTTTTTATTAAATGCCAGAGAGGCTCTGGACCTGGAGGCACGAGGGAGAGTTGGCCCCATGCCCGTCCTTAACCTCTGGTGCTGTTGGCAGTCATTGGCATTCTGAGGCTGTAGACACGTTCCTCCAGTCTCTGCCTGTCCTCACATGGCATCCTCCCTGTGTGACTGTCCCTGTGTCTTCTTTTCTTGTAAGGATACTCATCAAACTAGATTAAGAACCAACCCATCCTGCTCCAGCATGACCTCTTTTTAACAAATTAAATCTACACTGACCCTGTATCCAAATACAGGTTCTGAGAAAGACATGCATTTCTGAGGGAACAACCCTGTCTGACCAGCACAATAATATAATCAAATTCTATTTTTGAGATAGCTCATATTTTATATTTTTAATAGTTAATAAAGTATTATTTAAAAATAAAAATATTTAGTATTTTATAATTTGAGGACCTGGCCATGAATATGGTATTATACCAGGTGCTGTTAGCAATTAATGTGATATTCTTAGCTACTGAAGGGAAATGTGGACTATAAAACCATTATTATCTATACTGCCGTCTGATGACAGTTTGTCATTTTTCTGGTATTTGCAATCAGGTGGAGAATTTCACAGTGTCCTTCTCAGATGGCCGAGTGTTATGCTACTTGATCCACCACTACCATCCTTGCTATGTGCCTTTTGATGCTATTTGTCAGTGTACAACTCAAACCGTGGAATGCACACAAACCGGCTCTGTGGTGTTAAATTCATCATCTGAATCTGATGAAAGTTCTCTGAATATGTCTCTTAAAGCATTTGATTATGGTTAGTAGCTTTTGGTTGATTACCTTTTCAGATTTTTTTCTTTTCCATGTCTGATTTCTGGTCAGAGCTGTCTAATATCTTTTTTACTTGCATAATAGAAAATACTTCAGAACTATGCAAAGAACTCCTAGAAAACGAAAAGAAAAATTTTCAGTTGGTGAGGTCTGCAGTTAGAGATCTTGGTGGAATACCTGCAATGATTCATCACTCAGACATGTCAAACACAATTCCAGACGAAAAGGTAAGTGAGTGTTTCTTACTGCAAATGTGGAAAGAGTCTCAGAAATTGATGGTAAGTTGATTGTTCTCTGTCAGCCTCTGTTTTCACCCTCTGTGTTTTCTCTTAGGTGGTTATTACCTATTTGTCATTTCTCTGTACGAGACTTCTGGATCTTCGTAAAGAAACAAGAGCTGCTCGGCTTATACAGACAACCTGGAGAAAATATAAACTAAGAACAGCTCTAAAACACCATCAGGTAATCCTGAAAAATGAAAGCACAGTAACGTGAATGGTACTCCATATGCTACCAGTTGATGGGTTCTGGATAAGATTTTTCATGTTACTGATGTATGAAGTTACAGACGCTGTGTGTGTGTGTTGAGCTCGGGATGGGTATTTCTCCCCAGCTCCTGATGTTTCCTTCATTCGATGTATCTTCCAGCCTCTGTCTACCCTTTTGCCTAGTCTGCTCTAGGGGAAGAGGAGTAACTTGCCTCTATTTTTTGTGTGTGTGTGTGTGAAAAATAAATTGGGGTACCTGACTCAGCTCTTCTCTTCTTCCTCTTGGAATCTAACCTGCCTCCAAGGAGCAGGAGTTTTCCATTAATTTTTCATGCTGTGTTCTGGGAGGCTTGCTTTGACGTTCTCCTTGGGCCTGAGTGTCAGGTGTTGCATTTTGCTTTCTAATTAGACAACTCATTCTTTCTGCTGTGAAACTGTCTTCCAGGATAACCATCTTTATCCTTTGTTAGTTAAAAGTGGTATTTTGGTTTTCATTGTTTTATTTCTCAAAATGTTTAGAAGCTGGGCATAGAGATGTTATTTATTGTCTCCCTTTGTGACCCCAATAGTATAAAAATTTGCATTGTCTTAAGTTCTGAGAAAAATGTCATTTTTAACAATCTGAGAAATGGTCTCTTTCATCAGACTGAACAGACGACTTTAATCCTTTTATCTCCCTATTCCTTCCACTAATAACACTATACTTTTTTATTTGGAGAAATCAAAATAAAACAAGCAGCCATGCTTAATAAAATGTATCAGATATTTCAAAGGCCTTCCACCCAATATTGCTCCTTGAGTTTGAGTTAACAGACATTAATTATATAGCTCTCAATAACTGTGTAAAACAGCCAAGTTTAAGCAGCTCTCAAACATACTGTGTGTTTTCTCATACTTGTATCAGACTTGGAAATAGCACTAATTGAAATAATTTGCTCTTGCCTCACTCACAGTTTCGGTAGTAACATTTGGGAAACAGTCTGTGGCTTATACTCACAAATAGTCTTTTCTGCTACTGTATAGTCTTCTCTGGGCCTTCTTTAGCCCCTCATCTTCCCAGGATCTGCTTCCTTGGCTACATGCGCTTTGTAGGAAAACTACTTCTGGACACTTCTAGGAGAATTGTTTTAGGAAACTTCAGGGAAGACTCTCCTGGCCAGTCCTCAGATTATTTCATTAATTCTTTTTACATGACATTAAATGAGAGATTTAAAATCACAAGAAGTAAATATCTCTTTACTAAAAAAAATGTATACTTTTTGTTGTTGTTACAAAAATGTTTATTTTCTGCTCTTAGTGACCTTGTATTATTCATATATTTACTGCAGAGTTTTTAGCCCTTTGCTGGTGAGATCGCTTCTCTTGGTTTATTTCTTTGATCCACATAGTGGAAATCTTCCTGTTTTTTTAATACAGCTGCTTCTCCCCTCTCTCCAGGTGCTGTGCCCTCTCTTGCACAATTATGCTAAAATCCAATTATACCTTTTCATTTGCTATTTGGAACATTAAACAGCAGGATCCCTATCTGGTCTAGTAGAAATATTATAAGCTAACAAACATGTAAATATTACCTCAAATAGCTATTTTTCAGGTTTTATATTTTGCTTTCATATTATTGTTATAATTTATATAAATGTCCATCGAGAATAGAATGATTCAAGCTTTGTAATAACAAACATTGACTAACGGCCAGATTACCTAATGCATTAAGCAGGATTATCCAAGGGGCCCCAACACATACCACCTTTCAGTTCTTCCTGTCAGAGAGTAGGCACAGACCCTGAAGTGAAGTAAGTCCTTGCATTTGGCGTATATATAAGGCAAAATAAAGTGGGCTGATAACATGTTGGTTTAGCAACAATATAGGATTAAAACTGATGGCATGCAGTCTAGCTTAGAGAAGAGTCAAGACTGAAGGCATGGGAGCTTTTACCCTCAGTTTATATAAGTTTTCAAATAGTTGCTAGTTTTATAATATATATGTTTCTTTGGATTTATCTACTTTCCATCTGTAGCTTTACTCATGTCATATAAAATGTTCCATTTTAGTTGGTTTGAGATTGAGATAGTCTAAAAACAGATTTGTCAATTTATCCCAATGTGTTGTGCCCAAGAATGTCCCTGGCCTTTATAACTTTTGACTCAAATGCTGGTTTAGGCTGCATCATTTTTTTTTAAGCTAATAAGGGATTTTTTTTTTCACATGAAATTTTTTTAGTTGGGGTAAAGAATACACCATAAAATTTCATCTTGAGAAATTTTTCAACTCACTTCTCCCTCACCCTGGCCTTTGTAAACCATTCTACTTCCTATGTCTATGAAGTTGACTAATTTAGATAGCCTTATGTAAGAGAAATCATACAGTAATTTGTCCTTTTGTGACTGACTGACATCACTCAGTATGTCCTCAAGGTTCATCCATGTTGAGGCATGTGACAGAATTCCCTTCCATTTTAAGTCTGCAGAGTATTCCACTGTAGGTATACGTAGACCACATTTTGTTTATCCATTCATCCTTCAGTGGGCATTTGGGTTACCCCTCTTGGCTGTTGGGAATAATGCTGCTGTGCAAATGGGGGCACAGACATCTCTTTGAGACTTTGCTTTTCCTTTCTTTTGGACACATACCCAGAAGTGGGATTGCTGGATTTTATAGGAGTTCTATCTTTAATTTTTTTGAGAAACCACCATACTGTTTTCCACAGTAGTTGTTATGGACCACATTTACAATTCCACCAGTAGTGTACAAGCATTTCAGTTTCTCCATATCCCTGCTGGCACTTGTTTACTGGCATTTTGGGGTTTTTGTTGTTTATATTTTGGTTTTGGTAGTGAGGAGATAGCTCATTGTGGGTTTGATTTGCATTTCTTTGATGACTAATATTGAATATATTTTCATATGTTTTTTGGCCATTTGTATGTCATCTTTGCTGAAATGTCTATTCCTTTGCCCATTTTTTAATCAGGTTATTTGAATTTTTTTACTGTTGAGTTTTAGGAATTCTTTCATATATTCTAGATACAAGTCCCTTATTTGATACGTAATTTGCACATTTCTCATTCTGCAAGGTTCCTTTTCACTCTGTCGATTGCATCCCTTAATGAACAAAATTTTTTAAATTTGATGTAATCCTGCTTGTCTATTTTTTTTGCTTTTATTTCCTGTGCATATCTCATGCACTGCTAAATCCAAAGTTAGGAAATTTTTCCCTATGTTTTCTACTAGGAGTTTTATAGTTTTGGGTATTATGCATAGGGGTTTAATCCATTATGTGTTAATTTATGTATGGTGGTGTAGGATAAGGGTCCAACTTCATTCTTTTGGATGCCCAGGTTTCCCAGCACCATTTGTTGGAGAGACCCTTCTCCCCACTGAGTGGTTTTGGCACTCTTTTCAACAATGAGTTATCCACATACATGAGGGTGTGTGTCTGGGCACTTTATTGTTCTCCATTGCTCATGTCTGTCTTTATGCCAGTACAACTCTGATTGTTGTTGCTTTGTAGTGTGCTTTGAGATTTGGAGGTGGGTGTGGAACTCTGTAGCCTTAAAGGCCATCGGCTTCACAGGGGCCCTGACCGTGATGTTAGATGGCTTATTCAACTTGCTGGACATAATTCCTCAGCCTAGTTTGGAATTGTGTAGTCTTTTTTCACTCAGGAGTGATCCAATATATCACTGTTCCTTAGTATTTGTTTCAATCCATTAATTACCTTTTTCCTTTGTTACAGTGGCAGTTTGGTCCTTTCCATGACTGAGTGCATACTCAGTTGGTCCCACACTGTGCAGCTTCCACCCACAGAGACCAACAATGATTATAATTAATAGTTAGAATCTAGAGCTAATCTCTATGTAGAGTCCATCCTTGCATGGTGGGCTGTCCTGGACAGCAACAGTAACGGGTTATCAGATATACTGTATATAAGTTGTTCCTTTCCACCAGAGAGAATAAGTCATATTCTAGTTTCCAAATCAGGTGAATTGAAGTGATAAATCTACCCCTGAAGAACATGGCAAGGTGCTTAAGAGCATGGACTCTGAAGCCAGGCTGTTCAAATCCTGGCTTTCCTAGCTGTGGACTAACATGCTATTTGACCTCTCTGTCTATTTTCCTCATGTCATAAAACAGTACCTGTTCGTCTATTCTTATGGTTGTTGTGAGCTTTAGATGTATCATTCACAAAGTGTTCAGAATGGTACCTGACACTAGTAAGTATTTAATACATGTCACTCTTCATAGTAATTCATTGTTATAAGTAACAGAAATAGAGAAGTGTGGGGTACTGGCCTCTGGTCTCCTCTTTGTTCACTGATGTTGGGCACCTCGATTCCACTTTTCACATCCCAGTATTTTCTTCTCCTGAACCTCTCCAGCTTAAAGCCACAACACAGTCTGTGCTAAAAAGGAGGATTTTGCTTCTCCCTCTTTAATTCCTTTGTTCAAATTGTAACAAAGCAATATTATCTTACACTGTAAAGCATTTTATTTATTTTAGAGTCTTTTTTTTTTCATACAATCCACCCCCTTTCTTATGAGTCAGGCATGAATTCAATGGAGCATAATGTGAGAAGTGCACCACATTTTAATTGCCTTTATAGTGATTAGTGAGGACATGTGATCTATCAGGTGTGTCTCTGATCTTTATCTCAAGATGATAGTTCCTAGGACTCTTTGTTTCACCATATAAATTTATATGCAAGCCCACCTGTGAGCCATTTCTACGTGCCCAGGAGTATCTATACTCTAAAGAAGAGCATATCTTATAATAAGTTGGGGGCATGTTTTATTTCCAGGATCAATTTGGTTAATATACAACAGATGATTTTCTTACAAATAATATTTTAGGTTTTAAGTGATTAAGTGTTTAATTAATATTTGCTTTTTTTTTTTTAGGAAAGAGACAAAGCTGCAAGTATTATTCAATCAGCTGTAATTAATTTTCTAACTAAACAACAATTGAAAAAGGAGATTAATGCAGCATTAACTATTCAGAAATATTGGCGAAGATTCTTAGCAAAGAGAAAAGTTTTAATGTTAAAAAAGGAAAAACTAGAAAAACTTCAACATAAATCAGCATCAGTTATTCAGGTATACTGTCCTGGAATTTTTTAATTAAAAAAATTTTAATGGCATTTTTAAGAAAGAAAATAAAGTATAAAGTTTTAAATTATTGTATTTTAGATTTCCATATTTTGTCTAGTACAGATGATCCAACATGGTTTGAACTGTGCAGGTCCACTTATAGGTGGATTTTTTTTTAATAAATTGGAAAATATTTTGGATATTTGTGACAATTTGAAACAAGATTTTCTTTTCTCTTTATTGTAAGAATACAGTTTATAATACATGTAACATACAAAATATGTGTTTATTGACCTTACTGGTAAGACTTCTGTTCAACAGCAGATTATTAGTAGTTAAGTTTTTGGGGAGTCAAAAGTTATATGCAGATTATTCAACTGCATGGGGTGAGTGCCCCAACCCTGCATTGTTCAAGGGTCAACTGTACTTAATGTTAACAGATATTTAATACCTCCCCACTCCCTGCAGAACTCTGCTATATGCAGCATAGGCTCAACAAATCAAAATGCCTACTTCAGGAGCAATGTAATTGTATACCCCTCACTGTTTTTGTTTATATTAGAGGTTCACGGTCTTCCTCTCTGTGGGATATGCTGGCATTTTGTACCATTCTACTTTGTATATCAAGCTCTCTTTTTATCTCTACTATGCATCCTCTTTAGAATAAATGTGCACATTTTCCTCTTGGTTGGCACATAATGGACATATTAGTTATTCTGTAGAATGTCTGTTATTTTTCTACTTACAAAAATTTTTAACATATCTACATAATAAACACATTCCTTACATCTGTGTTAGTTTTTGATATTAGATTCTATTTTTAAAACATTAGAGAGGTGTACTACTTAAATTTACCCTATGTAAATGCCATTGACACTTCACCCCATAATTTTATCTGTTTTAAAAATTTGGAAATCTTTTTTGTGTGACTACTACTATTGATAAGTGAGAGATTCCAGTTTAGTAAATTACCTTTTTTTAAAAAGCACGAAATATACATACAAAATTGCACAAAACACAAATGCAAACCTAATGTATTTTCACAAAGTGAATACTCGTATAACTACCACCCAGGTCAAGAAATAGAATATTGCCAGCCCCTCAGAAGCTATTTCTCAGTCAATTAACTCCCACATCTCAGCCCAAGGTAACCACTATCCAAATGGATGCTGATCATGCCTTTTTCCTATACATCTTTCTTAAGTACTTTAATTCTGTCTTGCCTGTTTTTTGGATTACATATAGATGGGTTCAGTGTATACTCTTTATATGAAACATTATTAAATTTGTGAGATATATCAGTGTTGCTGAATATAACTGATTTAACTTTCATTTAATAATATTCTGCAGTTTATTTATCTGTCCTGCTGTTGATGGACATTTGGCTTTCAAGTTTTGACCTATCGTGACTAAAGCTTGTATGAATGTGTATTTGGTATGAGGTGTATACACTCTGTTATTTACCTATGAGTAAATTGTTTGACATAGGGTATATATATTTTAGTGTTAGTAGATCCTGCCAAAGAGTTTTGTAAAGACTTACAGTACCCACCCAGCTATCTGTGAGCATTCACCTAACTCCATGTCCAGGTAAATACAAGGAAACGGTCTTTTTGATTTTAGCCATTCTGGTAGTTGTGTAATGCTATCTCAGAGTTGTTTTATTTGCACTTTCTTCATAATTAATGATATTGGACACCTTTTCATATTGGGAATCTTCTCTTGTGAAGTGTTGTTTCAAATTTCTTATTTTTTCTTTTTCATTTTGTTGGCCTTCTTATGAATTTATAAAAGATCTTTATATATTTTGATTATTAGAACTTTGTTGGTTATGTATGTTATAAATATCTTCTCCCACACTGATTTGCT